CCCCGGGGCGCCGCGGGTCTCCCCCCCCGCCTGCCCGTCCCCATCGGAGCGTCCTCTGGCCGTCCCCAGCGTCCTCGATCCTGCTCCCTCCGGCCTCGCTGCCCTCCCGAGAGCAGCGGCTCGTCCCTGCCCCGGGGCGCCCGGCACGTCTCGGCATGGCAGTATCCGCCTTCCAAGGCCGCTGCCTTCCTCCAGACTCTGGTTTTCCCATTCCGCAGGAATGTGATGGGAGCTTAGAACAGCCGCTAGAAAAATGTGCAGCTAAGTGATAGAAAAAGTCCAAGAGTTTAAAACATAATAACCATCATTTGTTGTTAGTCTTTGAATTACAGTGACGCTCTTGCCATGCCTGGCTGTTCCGCCGCCAAATCCCAGGGCTGGGGAAACGCGGCGGTCCCCGCGCGAGCCGGACGTGCCGACCCAGATACCCAGAGGTGTCCGGCAAAACTGGCAGGAGCGTTTTGTGAAGAGCCCCGGGGCTGCCGCAGGCTCCCTGGGCACTCGCCTTGCGTTGTCGTGCCTGTAGCTGTCACATTGACAATTAATTTCTTGAGGAAAGATCAAGCGACTCTAGTATTTGTTCAGGTGTCATAAACTACTGATAGTCAAATTGCATTTGTTTTAATTAGTTGCTCAGTTGCGTTTTTCTACTCCATTAGAGGCTAATCATTGCAATACCAGGCATAAGGCACCGACAAGGATAGATGGAGACAGCAGAAACCTGCACTGGAGCAAATAGTGTCTTAATTAACCTAAATTGCCCAGTAAATGATCACAGAGATTTCTCACAATCAAAATGGAAGTAGCTGTTGCAAGCTCGCCAGGTGCACGGGAAGCACAAGAGATTTCTGCACGGGTCTTGCTTTGTCGTGGGCGTTACCGCGATGCGGTTGTAAATATTTCCCGGGGCATGTTCTTGTTTTTAATATCTATATCAGAAGTTAAGTGTGGCATCCAGGACAAGGAGTCTGAAGTGGATTGGCAAAGTTGCAACTTTAAAATGTCTTTCTTTTCTGCAGAACAACGTTTAAAGAGTTTGCAGAGAAATATGGAAGAGATCAGCGGTTTCGACTTGTCCAAAAGAAGAAGGACCAAGAGCATTTTTTCAATCAGTTCATACTTATTCTTAAAAAGAGGGACAAAGAAAACAGGATAAGGCTACGGAAAATGAGATAAATCCTGAAACTGGCAATAAATAGACAAGTTAGTGCTGTGACTGCAGTAGAAATTAAACAAAAGAAAAGAGCATTTGGGGTTAGAGTTGCAACAGCTGAAAGAAGCAGCGGATGATATCCCAAAGGAAAGCTCTCAACAGGAAGATCGGGACTGACCGTGGTTTGGGCTTGGGAAGCCAGGTTGTTCTGCAGGAATCTGAAGGATATTTTGTTCTCAAAGAATTAGTGTTTCATATTGAAGCTCTCTTTTTGTACAACATTCAGTTTGATGCATTTCTAATTGCCATGATATGTCAATCCCTTAATTGTTTTAATTATGCAAATTACTTGTAATATACACAAATTATAAATCCAATGCAGATTTGTAATTAAGCAGAAACAGATGTCATCCATAACGATCTCAAGATATTTCCATCATTTAGGGGAATTATCTGAAGCAATCTTTTGGCAACTTTCTGCATTAACATGAATTGTTTGGGAGTGCTGTGGTATGCAGGGTTCATTCCTCAGTGTTCATATGTCCGTGTCCAGTTTTCGGAGTAGTAGTAATAAGATAGTAACTGTTAATCATAGTGAAGAGTGTGGAAATTTTGGCATATGTTCCATAGCAAAACCATAAATTTCAGAAATAGCTTTCTAATTACTGTGAATGGTGCTTTCAGGCACACAGATAATAGCAACACGTCTCCGTAAGAGTTACTATAAAGAAGTTATTTTGTAAAGCCATCATAGTGCGATCTGAATTATGTCCTTGTACGTGAAGAGTCTGCATGAGATTTTTTTCTTATCACCTTTGTACAAATAAATATTTAACTTTTTTAATTAATAAATATTTTAAGCCAAGTTTCAGATGTTCTTTAAGTTTCTAAAGCCTGGGAGATACTGGACAGAAGACGACGATTCTCCTGGTCTGTTCCCAAGAGGCACTCCGGGAATCCAGGCGTTCCTGCTGCTCGTGCTTGGTGTGCAGGTTCCCATGAGCTGCCCCTGGAGCCACGAGTGGTTTGGGAGCAGCGCGGCCTCTCTGGCTGTGAAGGTAACGTGGTGCAGGCGGAGGAATCAGCAGAGCTCCACGGAATTTCCACGCGTTCCTCTCTGTGCTCCGGGGAAGACGCGCTGTCCTCGTTCTCTGGTCCATGATCATCACCATTTTCTCAGCGGTCGCAGTTTTTCAGCTACAGCTATTAGAGCTGTAGGTTCTGCTCGGCAGGAGCAATTTTGGTATTTCTCCAACTAATGGTATTTCTTTCTGTAGATGTCAGCTGCTTGTGTTTTAATCAAGTGTGTTTTCTAGTGATTTGGAAAAGTGAACTCAAAATAATTCACACAAGAGCCCTTGATATCAGAAATGTTTCAGGATATACGTAGGGGTCCAAAGCTTGCTACCAACCTTGATCCCTGTTCACGTTTTCCAGCTCATCTTCACTTTTGCTTGGATTTTTTTTCCTGCTATGTCCATTTTCCTAGTTTCTTCCACGCCGATTTCAGCCACGCTTCTGCTGAGCCTTAGGTGGTGGAGAAAGATGTGGTCGGCAGCAGGTACGCTCCTCTTCATGCAATCAACGATTTCTGTAAGAGCAAGAGCAGCCCCTAAGTTTATATAGGTGTCAGTGGGAAAATGTGTCGCAGCGTTAGAATTGCCGGATTAAGCAGATACCGTGGGGTTTTGGTGTCGTCTCTGCACGATCCGGCGTTTCGGCCCGGTGCTGGCGCAGGCAGATGCCGCCTGGTTGTGCCAACCTTGTGTTGCACAGAGGGCCAAGGCCAAGGGTGTCCGAGGGGGAGGCCGGGCTCCCTCCGCACCGCGTGGCCGGGAGCGTTGGAAGGAGCCTGATGGATTGTCCTGCCCGGATTGTTGCAGGGACAAGTGCAGGTCCCCGGGACCTGCACGCAGTGGGACAGCAGGGACCTCTCACACCGGTCAAAGATGAACTTCATGGGACAGTTGTAAAAACAAAAAATATATACATAAATATATGTACATATATAAATACATATATATGTATCGGAAACGGGAAATTGCATGGAGCAGTTTCTCTCTTCTAAGAGCAAAATGCAAGACAGAAGGAAGCTGTGACTCAACTAGGGTGTGAAGCAGCACCAAGACCTTGGACTCCTTGCATGTTCCTTTCATGTGCTGATAAAACACTAATAACCACCTAATTTGAATAATGTCATTTCAAAAGTAATTTGTCTGTTTAAATTCTTAGTAGAGGTTGGATACAGCTGAAACTGATATAAATGGAAAGAAATAAAAAGGGAAATAATGTGATGTGCTTTGCTTTAGGTAAAAATGAAAAACAGAGGAAAATGTGTGGCTAGTAAATTCTGGCAGTAAATTCTGGGCAAGGTGCAATGCCCAGCAGGCCGTGGCTGGCAGGGTGCGTGTTTCCCTTCCTGCTTTTTGGCCTCCCCTGCAGCTGGTCAGCATCAGGGGCCCAAGTTCAGCGGCTGGGTGACAGTTGGGACCTTGGGTTTTGCTTTCCCGAGCTTGTTGGTGCTTTTTCCAGCTCCGTTCCTCCCGGTTTGGTGTCCAGGCTGGGGTGCAGCTGGTGGACGCTGGCGCCCGCGCGGGGAGCGTCGGGCGGCCCCGGGCAGAGCCGGGCTCCAGCGCAAGTGGCGTCACAGGAATGGAAACAAACGGGGGCATCGTTCCCCAGGGACCAAACGCAGCTTTCCAGAGTCACGGCGAGACGCTTTGGGTTTGCTCCCGCGAGCAATTTAACTTGATTGATCCTTCCAGCCATCAATGAAGTGTCTCTATATTGCGTTTCTACAGCACTGCTGTGGCATCGCGAGCTGCTGCCTCTCCACTGCAGCAGGCGGGTTGGCGTGGGAGCAGGTGCCGTGTGAACGCTTCAACGTGTGTTGATGGGGTTTTTAGAACATGCATGCACAACACAGGGTATTGCACCGAGGGAAGCAGGTGGGCACGTTTTCAAGGATCTGCGTTGCGTGCTGATTCCGAGAGCCGGACACGGCAGCGTCCCGTGCACCTGAGCGTGCGCGGAGTGAGGAGCTGAGGGCGGTTTTCCCGAGCACGCGGATACCAGGAGTGTGAATGCAGAGGGAGCAGAGCCGGGGCTGCTCCTGCTCCCTGGCTGCGCTGAGCGCCTCGTCCCGCCTCTTCAGCGGGGTTTCCTTTTCGGCAGAAAAGCAAAGTGTAGGAGTGTTAATTCTTTCAATGATACTTAGATGGCCTTTCACATATCGAGAGCATCGTTCTCCCCCTTGGGTCCTCTCTGTGTGTTTGGGTGTTTGTGCAGTTTGCCAGTGTTTGCTTGGGCAGTTTTCAAGCACTGTCTGAGGATGACTCTGTGGGGCTGGGTTTTTTTTTTTGAATTACCTTCTGGCAAATCTCACTCGGCCAGTTCAGTATCTTTCTTCATTCATGGGCTCTGGGCTCTCCCCTGGAGTGTTTTATTTATGGCGAGAGGAAGGAAAAGCCTTTCCTCGTACATTTTCCTTATTGCTCAGGTGCAGCTTCCAAGTCCCTTTTCCAATGAGCCGAAGATCTCCCAGGTCTGCTCTGCACACGAGTCCCTGACACACAACCCCAGTGTGTGCCCTGATTTCTAAACTAATTCAGCATTTCACTTCTGGAAGCCACGTGTGCTCGGCCCCCCGTGGACTGAAAACCTGCGGTCACGGTGCCGCGTGCGGAGCGGGCCGAGCCGGTGCCGCTCGCCTTTCCCGGGCGCAGGAAGGGCCTCGTGGAGCGCGCGCTCCGGGCGGGAGCTGCTCCCTGTCCACGGAGCCGCTGCGTCCCGCTCCAACGGCCTTTTGCTTGCGTTAAAGGTGATTTGGGGTGATTTTGGGCACAAGGCGTTGGTTTAACGAGCCAGGCGTGTTGTCGCCGGAGGTCGGTGTTTCCGGGCAGCAGAGCCCCCTGCACGTTGCAGCCCCCAGGTTTGGGCTTTAGGCACCAGCTGCCGCGGCCGGGGTCTCGCTTGGCTTCCCGCAGGAGCACGGCGCGCCCGGGACGGCCCCTTGGGAATCCGGCGGGATTTCCTGTGCCGCAGAACCCCCCCGGGGCAAAACCCCGAGCCCTGGAGAGCTGCGAACGCCTGGCCTGGGGGCACAGCGGGCAGGGCCTCGTTCCCCTTCTGCTGCCTTCTTTAATCCTTAACGAGATTAAGAACACTTAATTCTTTTTTTTTTTTTTTAAATAAGTGGCCTAGGGTGGAATTCTGGCCTTAATTAAAATATGCTATTTGCAGACTGCCATTAGCTTTCCTCATTTACTGTTTCCTAGTGGGAATGTGTATTTGAGTTAAATGACTCTCCTGCCCAGCCCTAAGGAGCAGCACGGGCTCCTGGCCACAAAGAGGCTCTAAGGCCGGGTCATCCTGCAGCTAAACGTGGCAAGAAGAGGCACCTCCTGTCTGTGCCCAAACCCACAGGATTCATGAGCGTTTGGCAAAAACGCAGTATCCCGGGGTGCAACGCGGAGCCTCCCACCTGAGTATCCCAAAATTCCTTTGGAGTATCTCCGGTGGCGCCCGTGCGGTGACGCCTCCGGGGGCAGAGCCTGCCTGGCCCCCAGGTGCCAGCAGCAGGGCTGAGGGTGGCCCGTGCAATCTGCGGGTGATGCTCTTGTCAGTGCTGATTTGCACAAATACGGGCTAATTAAAAACTATTCCATCCTTCAGATCTTTGCTGTCTCCTTCTAGTGCTAAGTTCTCTGCGGTTGCTGCAAACAAAAACGGTTGCTAGAGTGATAGTTTTTTAAATTATTGCACCCAAATCTCTCTTGGCCCCCTTTGCTTTTGAAGGAAGCCCATTAGCTTGTTTTAAAATTGCAGCGTTTGCTTTAGGCTATTAAAAATGCCTTCTATTCTGCATATTTCATTTTCTCCAAATTGCAAATCCGGTGTGGAATTAAGAGCCTGAACATTCTGCTCAACAGCTCCATGGCGCTGTCTTCTGCTGCAGAGACTGGATTGGAAAACTGCAGCCTTTTCTGTACCTCGTATTGTAATTCCCCACAGGTAAAGAGCACAAATGTTGCAGAATACCAAAAATAAGGTGAAAAGGTGGTCTGTTTACGTCTCTGTTCCTTCATCCAAGCACAAGG